AGACATGCTTCTCCTTATCCTGAAAACCTATAAAGACATAGACAAGTCCATCTATTCTCTCTGCCTCTCAAATGCAATGTAGGTGGTTGAGCCACAACATAAACTCCTGTTTGGAAAAGGGAAGGATGAGAAGTACAAGGAGCCATCAGTCCGTAACCACACTGAAGTTCTGCCGAGCAGAATGGGCTTGGGCTAAACCGTGGTTCTGCTCTCCAAACTCCTCTTGTCCATTTTCCTCCAAAACCGCTTCTCTAAGCCGAAGAGCTTCAGAACCCGTTTCCTGCCGGCATAGATTTGCGGGTCTAGTGGTTTCTTTAGGGTTGCGAATTCACAGATGTCTATAGGCCAGGCATGTGACAATATAGGCCCCTCAAAAACTAAATGGGTTTCCGGTCTGTTTGCGTCTGACTGGTTCCAGGTAAAAGTATCCACTGCCAAAGATCTCTCGTGGGTCTTAGTTTTTGACTCAGCGGACTGTGGATTAGTCACCGGTCTCTCCTCCGCCCGTCCATCTTTCCCTCGCTTTGCTGGCAGCTGCCTTGAGGCTGGACAGTGAATCTGATCTTTACAAGTGGTCTGACCCCCATGTCTGGCTGAGAATACCTAACTGGAGGGGCTCTGAGGGAAATGCTTATCTCCTGCGCTTGGGGTACAGAGTAATTGGCTTTTCCAGACCCACTGGGGTCCCAAGTGGTTGGAGTCTCCATTGATTTTTATCGTATGGCTCAGAGAGAGCACACTGCCCTGTGGCTACATTTTCTTCCATTTCCGCTGGCAAACTGGCTAATTCTCGCCTATTTCCATCTTACTCTTGTGGTAGCTCACTCAGTACAGCAAGGAGCAAACAACATTATGTCTCACTGCTTCCCCCAACGCCACCAGTTCAGATGACACAGGGCCTGACTTCCGAGTTAACTGCAGTTCAAGCCAATTTATAGCTATACCATAGCAAGAGTGACACGCTTTCTAGTCCACAGTATCCATTTTCTTACCACCTTCCCTTGCCGGCTGCTAAGCCAATGCCACAATGTGGTGTTTAATACCGTGGCAACTCATTTCCAGGTGTCATTTTCTGCTTTAGCTAGAGCACAGGCTAAGCCGCCTTAACAGAGAGACCCAAACTGCAGTGACTGAACCAAAACAGAAGTACAGCTTGTCCAGCACGACGGTCCCAGAGGGAGAGAAGCGGTCCAGTGTGCTCGGTGGCTCTGTTTTACTGAGTCATCCTGGGACCCACGTCTTTCTGTCACGTATCCTGCCCCCTCCCAGAAAATTGTCTTCATCCCCGTGGCAGAAGCTGACTCGCCATCCGCAGGCCACGTTCCCGCGTGCAGGGAGTGGAGAGACACAAGAATCCCAAGAACACGTTGCTTCTGCTCGCATTCCGTCGGTGACTTCTTGGTTACCAGCCACAGCTGGCAGCGAGAAAGTCTGCAAAATGTGGTCCTTAACGGGGCGGCCACGTGACCAGCTAAAACTGAGAAAGTTCTGTTACTAAAGGAAGAGGAGAGTGGCAGTGTCTACCACTGGCATAAAATTAAAGTCTTTCCCCAGTTCCCACAGCCATTCAGGAATCCCTGTAAACTTCTCACGTGTCTTTCCTAAGTGTGCCCATGCGTATATGCAAATACGAATGTGTGTCTTTATTTCTCCCCTCTTCATAGCACGTTATACGTGTTTAGTACCTTGCTTTCTCATCGAACAATCTATCTGGGAGATCCTCTCGTAGTGCAGAGTACATCAGTACACGGAAGGCATCTTCCTTTTGCCTTACGGTTATGTCGCGTGCCCTGTATGGAAGAACCATGCCTTCTTTACCAAGTCCCTCATCGACGGGCACTTGGTTGTTTCCGGTCTTCTGCCATGACAAATAACGGTGCACTGGATCCCCACAAACAAGACTCATTTTCACATGTGAGCGGAACAGGTGTGCGTTCAGCTTCCAGACGTGAACTCGGTGGTTCGGAGGGTATCTGTGTTTGTAATTTTAGTAGCTATTGTCAGATTGCTTTCCGTGGAGACTGCTGCTCTGCACGCCCAGCCGTCATGCAGGAGAGAGCTGATTTCTTAACGGCACT